GAAGGGCCGTAGCTGCCTCGGTTTGAAAGGTCACGGGCTCAAATCCCGCCTTGTACAGGATGTTTGTGTGTGTTCATATGGTCCTTGCGTGCTTTGCTTAGAGTTCCCCTTAGAGGTAAAACAATCACAGTGGTCGCTACATGACTTACGTTGTTAAAAAGCGGCCTAAAGGCCTTTCGTGAGCTGGTTGTCGGTGGCGCAGCCCATCCTGAACACGCTGGTGGACGGCGAGAAGGAGCGCACGCGACTGCGCAAGCGCGGCTGCCTGGTGAGCAAGCTGGACGCCATCGAGGACCAGCCCGAGGACGGGCCGGACATCTACGTGGTGCTCGTGGGCTTCCATTGCGCGCAGCTGCCGGGAGAGCTCCTGCGCGCCGGCGTGCCCCTGCGCTCGCTCGTCATCGTCATCGCAGCGAGACGACCAGTCTCGTCTCTCACTCCCTCGCGTGGGGAGCTTCGCGGCGGGGGATTTGCGATCACGAGTTAGGATAAGGTGTTTCTCGCCATGCGAGGAGAACGACGAGGTCTCGCTCTCTCACTCCCTCGCGTGGGGAGCTCGGGGTGGGTGGATTTGCGATCACGAGTTAGGATAAGTGTTCTCGCCATCGAGGAGAACGACGAGGTTCTCGCTCTCTCACTCCCTCGCGTGGGGAGCTCGCGGGGGGTGGATTGCGATCACGAGTTTAGGATAAGGTGTTCTCGCCATCGAGGAGAACGACGAGCGTCTCGCTCTCTCACTCCCTCGCGTGGGGAGCTCGCGGGTGGGTGGATTTGCGATCACGAGTTAGGATTAAAGGTGTTCTCGCCATCGAGGAGAACGACGAGGTCTCGCTCTCTCACTCCCTCGCGTGGGGAGCTCGCGGGTGGGTGGATTTGCGATCACGAGTTAGGATAAGGTGTTCTCGCCATCGAGGAGAACGACGAGTCTCGCTCTCTCACTCCCTCGCGTGGGGAGCTCGCGGGTGGGTGGATTTTGCGATCACGAGTTAGGATAATGTTGTTCTCGCCATCGAGGAGAACGACGAGGTTCGCTCTCTCACTCCCTCGCGTGGGGAGCTCGCGGGTGGGTGGATTTGCGATCACGAGTTAGGATAAGGTGTTCTCGCCATCGAGGGAGAAACCCGACTGAAAGGTCTCGCTCTCTCTCACTCGCCTCAGCTGGGGAGCTCCGGTGGTGTGGATTTGCGATCACGAGTTAGGATAAGGTGTTCTCGCCATCGAGGAGAACGACCCGATCTTGCCATCAATTCGGTCTCGCTCTCGCTCTCACATCCTAATCATGGGAAGCTAGCGGGTGGGTGGATATGTGAAAACAAGCTCAGACTCAGTTTTGCTCGAGGTAGAAGGACCGGGTATCTCTAACTTTTGTTTTGTGATCCTCATGATTAGTCGAGGATAACGACCAGGTCTTGCGTTCAGTCCCTCGCTTGGGGAGCTAGGGATTGGCTGACTTTACTATGACAAGTTCTTTTGATATTGTTCTTGGAAGCCAGTAGGCTGCGTAAATTTGACCAATTTTTATCTATACAGAAGCCAAAAATAAAAAAAAGAAATAATTATAGTAAAAGTCTCTATGAATGTTTCGTGTTAATTGAAATATTGTTTTATCTTTTTTGAGCCTATATGTAGCTATTATTATAATCAGATTTGAATGTAAACACTCCATAAATATCGCGTTGTTCCACAAGCTTGTAAATCCTTTTATAGTTTAGATTCTAAGAACAATCAGTTTGTGGGGAAATAACTAATCTTTTATTTTTCATAACAAATATGTAGAATCATGTTTTGCGGACGTTAGAACAGTCGGGGTTCTGCGCCTTCCCGCTTTCGCATGTGTTGAGCGAGCGAGCGTGCGCGTGCGCAGGACGACGCCATCGAGTCGGCCGCGACGCGCGTGGGCGACGTGCGGACGACGTGCCGGTCGTGGCTGTACGTGAACCAGGGGCAGCGCGTGGCGCAGGAGCGCGCGGAGCGGGAGGCGGCGGAGGCGGCGGCGCAGGCCGCGCACGTCTCGGTCAAGTCGGGCGACTGGGTGAGCGCACCGGCAGCCCTCCAAGAGCACAGGAGATTCGTTCCTTTCGCGTTTTCGGATCTGCCTACGCAGTGTAGAGGAAGTATTGTAATACTGCGCGGGGACACCGACGATTTTTTGTCAGATAAGCTCTTATGGTCGAGCTCTGGCAACGAAAAAGAGATTAACTCTTGTCCCTTCATATAGAAAATTATTTCATCTAGCACGTTATGTAGTCAGAATCTACGTTTTGTGGTCCCTTATACCAAAAAATAGAGTCAAAAGACAAAACGTCTCTTAATAACACTAGCGGATAAATCGTGAGCAGAATTCTTACCAAAACTGGTAATCCCCATTCCATCTCGCGGATGCCGCAGCTCCTTGGATTTCAAAATATTTTAAATATGGAGGGTACTTTACCTCAAGCCGCTGGGACATTTTCAAACAAAAAAAAATAGGTTCACATTTTTTTATTAAATTGTGTTCTTGGACAGCACAATGGACGTTTAAAGCAACAATGCAGGTCTCATTTTCGTTGAAATTTTTGATTTTGAAAATTGCAAAAATTCTGTTTTTTTTTCAGCGTCTTCCTATAATTACAGTTGTGAAGATTTTTTTCTGAATGAACAGTGTTTATCACAAACATATTCAAATAAGGTCATTGCAATATTTCGAAAATAGGAGTACATTTTGCGTCTAACACGGTCAATTTTTAAATATTAAACAATCGTTTTTTCAAAAATCGCACCAATTTTTAATTTTTATGTATGTAACAAAGAACTGTGAAGAAAGTGGTGCGGGTCCCATTTTCGTCGCACTCTCTGTATTTTCAAAAATTGGATAAAGATCGAAATGATAAATTATATTAACGCAACTCTTTTGTTAATAAAATAATTATTGAAGTATCGGCGAGGGAAAAATTTGGAATTCCAACACTATGGTAAAAAAAAAAAAAAATTTCCTACTGATGAAGGATTTCGTAATTTTACAACATATGTTTGGTCGAGATGAGTGATAATGAACATAGGTCTACTTCTGACTATAGTGATAATAAGATTTGCCTTTAAGACAGAAGGTGATGCAGCCGATCATTTGGGGGCAGGGTCATCGCAGATTTTTGTTTTATAATAAACATATTTGTTATTATATTGCGTATTATTTATGTACTGCAGATATGATTCTAAACTATATTATTGTTTCAATAATTACATAATTAGAAAATAAATATAAAAAAGGTGCTGAATAAAGGAAGGTAAACGAAACGTTCAGGTCTTTTGGGGAGGAGGGGGCATGGCCCCATTGCCCCCCCCTCTGTATCCGCCAGTGCATCGAATAGAGATGAAGAAAGTGAACCCAACGTTGAAGACGATGGTTATAAAGATGACTGCATCGATGAGATAGAGTTCTTTGAATCTCTGAGTAATGAAACAATTCATTTTGAAAGAAATGGAGTAGTGAAGTTCCTAGACCATAGTAAACGTCATCGCGAAATAGAGATGGACTAAAAGTAGAATGTTGATTTTTACTGAGAAGTGCTCTAGATCTTGTTCTAACACCGAATCTTTTTTCTATTACTGTGAGAGAAATAAATAGGGAAACCAAACGAGTCTATCAGGAAAGCACCTAAATTGTGGAAGGAAATGGATGAAATATAATTAGAGGCTTACATTGAGTTATTGATATCTACTGGAGCATAGTAACGATTTGGACGTCAATATTTTTCTGTATATTTGGAATGTAAAAACTGCTAGATCAGTTTTTCAACTATGACATAAAATATTTCAATCAATTACTCGTTTGTTTACAATTTGATAACAAATTAGACACCTAACAAAAAATATCTTCAAAATATTTATTCAGGGACTGTAACCAATATATATTTTACGCTACAATATTACAGTCGACGATTATTTAATAGGATACACAGGCATGTGCCTTGTCCTTCAGTATATGAAAAGCAAACCTTACTAGTACAGAATTAAACTTTGGTGACCTTGTGATTCTGATAATTCCTTCTTATTGAATGGCCAAGTTTATTTGTGAAATCAACTACATCAACAAAGCTATATAAACCAGGATAATCGTGTTGTCAAAGTCCTGACCGTAGAATGGATAAATAAAAAAAATTAAAAAACTAATTATGAAATAAATACGTTAATGGTTTCATTTCTATCTCTATTTGCGAATATATTTCTTTGCTCAATAGCATTATATTAAAACAATAAGACTGGGGACCTTAAAAGCCACAAGTGGCCATCCGATGTACTTTTTTAAGGAGCCCAGCGGAGGGTTTAGAATCAAAATGAAAGCGCGTAAATATTTTGCGTACTCATGCGAGGGTACGACCTGCTCTAGAATATCGGTAATGTCGCACTTGATATTTTCAGTAAGTTCACTTCTTGAAACTGATTAAGCAAATGTGAAACTGTCTTAGTTTATACCGAAAATTCGTAAAAAGGTACAGAAGAGAAAAACACAATAATGAAAATGTAGATTTACTGTCGGAGATATTTATTATTTAAGAGTTAACGCCTCAAAAGAATGTGTGTGTAGAGACATTGAGAGAAAGAGAGAGAAAGAAAGGAGGAGGAGAGAAAAGATCTTGCCCAAATAAACAAGTCTCTTAAATTTTTTTTGTCTAACATTTAAGATGTTCGTTGTATTCGTACTGTTGTCAAGCAACACATAACCAAAATACCTCATGAGAAATTTAAAAGTTGCTACGAGTTCGGTGAGAAGTAACACACAATAAATGAAATATATATTAAAGAATGCATTATTCACGTTGAATATCGTATCAACATAAATCGTTAATTGCAAATTAATATAACTGCACACATAACTATAACGTTGAAAATATTTTATTAATATGGTGTAATAATAATTTATTACACACAAACATTTTACATGGTTTCTTACGTTTGGGGACGGTCGAAGCTACATAAATTCATTGTTCAGTGGTAAATATCCATTTTAGTTGTGACGAAGGATGACTGATGAAATGGTAAATGATTTACGAGGAGAAGAAATAAGTGCTAGAGTAATAGGGAGAGAACGGAAGTGAAAATAAAAGTCTATAGTTTACTCGACTCTTTTCGACTTTGTGTAGAAATGATATTCTCAGATATTCACATCGTTTTTAGTTGACGTTTTCTATTTTCTTGCTTAGTTATTAAATTCAGTGTATTACTTTTCAGGCAACCAAAACTGTAATTCCAGTTGCTCCAACTAACGTCGTAGTATCCCAAGCTGCCATAGAAGTTCAGAATTTCTGGCCAGAGTTCGAGCAGATGCTGTGGAACCCTGTATACTATGACAGTCTCAAGGATGTGACACTCATGTCACTTGTTATACCTCGAGTGGTACGAAATAAATTACTCGTAATTATTGTATTTAATGTCTCTCGTTTTAGTATCAACTGTATCAGTGTTTCTTAGTAATATCTCCATTTTTATAATCCTTCCATATCTCTCAATTTGTAAGAGATTTTTCTCTTTTAATTTTCTCCATCGTCACTTTCATAATAATAATTTTGTTATGAAAATTATAAATTTAATTTACTGGTGTCTTGAAAACCAAGCATAATGTATTTATGGTTTTTGTATACCTATTGCTTACCACGTTGCGCCTATCAGGCATAATAATGAAATATTGTGACACTGTATCTGCTGCTTTGTTAAATTTTATAAACCAAGTATTATATCGTTGAGAAGGAAGATTCCAATTGATTCCAAATTATTTTTCACTCTTTTATATAAATTTGAATTTTTATGGTATACAAAATTCATATTAGTATAAACTAATGTTTCTAAAATATGTTCACAGATTGTCAACATGTCTGATGAGATGATTAAACCATACCTTTACGATGAAATGGCGACTGTAGTGTATGATATTGCTGTAAGTATTTTCATAGTGAGATGAATATTCTCTTTTTATCGTGTCGATGCACCTTGTCTACATTTTTAACACTCACAGTGCATACACATTGGTTGATATTAGTGAAGTAAATATTAAGTCTAAAATGCTTCATTTATTCAAGATAATAATATTCATAATATAAATGTGCAATTGTATAAGAATTAGCCTCCAAAAAGTGTTAGTAATGAATTTATTCGACGATTTTATGGCGAATCAGATGAAGGTCTTGTTATTAGAAATTCTAATTGGAATTTGTTACTTCAATCGGATTTAGCCAGAACCCTCGCCGCGGGCAACTTCTCTAGTTTTCTCGAATTTGCATGTATTGCCAGATAAGGGGAAGGGGAAGGAAGTTTTCTGTTTCGAACAGTATTAACAACGGAAGATGATTTCATTTGACTTATTTTTGTAAATAAATAAATAAGCTGAATGTTAAGTAGAGGGGGGAAGTACAATCTGCCGGTGGGTTTCCGGTTACATTTATATATGGAAATACATTCAATATTTTTGATGAGACGAGATACATGCAGAGCACACATTTTACAATTGATCATTGCAATCTGACTCCAAAAATTGCGTGACTCCAAATACACAATATCCTAAATGGCTCAAATTGATGAGATAATTTTAATGACTAAGTCCCGGATTTTTAGGATTTTATAAACATCATTTTAGCCTTTTTGTGAAGTCAATTTAGCCCAGTTTAGATTTTTATTTTGAAATACCTTTTTAATAATTTTAATGTATTTAAATTTATAACTATATATTTTATATTTATTTCAATTACTATTGACAAGCTCAATTTCTTTTATTCCTTTATAACAATAATGTTTCCTCCGTGGTTGCTATATTCCTATTGAATCTCAGGGTCCCCCCCGCTCATACTAGTTTATGTTAGATAAAATTATTTAAATCAGTGAAATTGAAATTGACGGCTCGATCTTACAAATATTTTTTGTTTTTCAATAAGAACATGAAATTTCATTTGTTCCAGTAGTGCAATAGTGGCACCATTGTTTATTTAATGCAACCCTTTCGTATTTTATTTCCTCTATTAACAAATAAAACGTCTACTAAAACAAAACACATTATAACACAATACGAGTACAAGCAAATAGTCTCTTACATTCACTCATATTTACAATAGATACTCATTAGACACAAGTGCTCGGATACGGGCCATTTTTGAAATTAAATCTTTCTTTTTATGTAATATTTCTTTTTTAGCGGTTAAACGGTTTCGCCGATTTTATCCAAAGTTGATATTCGCCAATCGATCTGGCTGATATCGCGGATCCTTGAATTTGAAATCGATATTTTTATTTCGGAGGGTACTTGGGATATTTTCAAAATTTCCAAAAAAATGGCTCCGTCGTTTTTAATTCAATGTTGTTGTCGTATAATGAAGAGAACGTTTATAAGAATGGTGCCGGTCTCATGTTCGTTGAAAACCTGATTTTTTAAAAATTTGAAGAGATCAACATTTTTTCGGCGTCTCTCTATAATCTGTTTCTGCGTGTAGGCAGACTTCGACCAGGCGTGCATCCTGCAGTGCATACATGCAGTACGTACGTTCTTTTCAGGTGGGGGATAAGCATTTTAGCTAAATTCCAATTTTTATTCCCTAAAGTTGTTACCCCGGGGGTATGGACAATGAGATGATGATGATGATGATGATGATGATAGCGAAGGATGAAAGGACTCATATAGACATACACAAATACGCCTATGCCCGAGACGGGACTCGTACCCGTGGTCTTCTGGTCCGATACCGCTACGGCACTGCTTCCCCAACGATCTCGGCCATCTGACCGGTTCCGCAACTAAAACATTAATGATACGGATTATTTTCTTAATAAAATATGCTTATTAAAGATGGATTATGAGATAAGGCCATGTACAATTTTTAGTACTAATTTTCGTAGAAAATTTGAGAACAACTTTTCGCGTAATTTTGCGTGAAAATACAAGAGGGTAAGTACATGCAGTTTTAGCTTATTTTGCCTAGGATAAAGGTAATAGGTATCTGGGATTCAGATAATACCTAGGGTAAAGGTAATAGTTATTTATGCACTAAGAGCGTTATAAGGGTACTAATGTTCGAAGGGCGACAATAAGTCCGAGAGCCTTTGGTGTGGATTTTTGTCGTTAAAACCAGTTAACATCCGTGGTACGTACATTAATTTAGCTGTTGCGTAATTTTAATGATTCAGATTGACTTATTTACTCATTAAATAGTTGTTAACGTGAATCGGTTTGTCTTCTCATATTTCCCTAACATAATTCCTTTTCACAATTCTCTCCATAAGAAAACATTTCCCTCGTAACCATGATCCTCTCGATCCTGGTAAATTATGCAGTGTATGTGTATCAAAGGCAATGACATACGAGTAAAAAATAAAATAATCCAGGACTCGAAAAACGCGTTTGAACCGTCTAATAGGTGTTGTATGCAAGTTATGCGCGATGTTAACATACGTCGCGGATTGCATGCGCGAAACATAAAAGATCACACGACTGCAATTTTTTTCATAACCTACAAACTTGATAAAATATTGATTATAATACTTTTATAATTTACAAACTACATTTTTCATTTTAAATCTGTTCGTTTGCAGATCAGACGGGTAATTCCTTTCTCTAAATAAGAATAGCCGTTTCACGGGATTTTCTGTGGCTGGCGCTCTACAAACCGTACAAAACCGTCACTTTTTGTTGACGAAAGCGAGTGACGTGCCAGTGTTTCTGAGCTGAGCTGAGCTGGTGGCGGCCGTGCGCAGACGACGGAGCTGCTGAAGAAGGCGTACTGCGAGCGCATGCTAACGTCGTCGCTGTCGCTGCCCACGCACCTGCCACGCATCGCCGACTCGCAGCGCGGCGCCTCGCTCTACCACACCGCGATGCGCGCGCTGCCCTCCGAGAGCGACGACGTGCCACTGCGCCTCAGGGCCATGCTGCAGCAGGTGCGCCCGCCGCCGCCCCCCCGCTCCGTCCCGCTCCGTCCCGCACCGTCCCGCTCATTCCCCGCTCCGCCCCCGCTCGTCCCCGCCCCGTCCCCGCTCCGTCACCGTCCCCGTCTCCGCCCCCATCCCGCCCCGCCCCATCCCCGCCCCGCCCCCGTCCCGTCCCCGCCCCGTCCCCGCCCCGCCCCGTCCCAGTCCCCGCCCCGCCCGGCCCCGCCCCGGCCCCACCCCGCCCCACCCCGCCCCGTCTCCGCTCCGTCCGTCCCGCTCCGTCCCCGCCCCCGTCCCCGCCCGTCCCGCCCCCGTCTCCGCCCCGCTCCGTCTCCGCTCCGTCCCACCCCGTCCCCGCTCCGTCCCCGTCACCGCCGTCTCCGCCCCGCCCCCATCCCCGCCCCCCGTCCCCGCCCCCGTCCCCGCCCCCGTCCCGCGCTCCTCCGCCGCAGACGGGGCCTAGGATGACACTCCGGCGGAGGCAAGGGTTTCGACGTTAGCTAGATACGTAGGCTTGCTGCAGGGGAGTTCTAGGAGCTTGCTGCTTTGATCGATAATTGCCGTGATTTCTCTTGTCAGTATCAGACGAATGACGGAGCGGTACTCGAACAAATAAGCCACGGACCGCGCTCCAATTGTTCTTCCTCTTCCTTATCTTATCGTCACCCCTTACATCGACTACCCAACCACACATGTCGGGAGACTAGTTGAGAGCTTAGAGCTTGTCCCGACTGAGACGGAGACTTGCTGGTGACAAAGACCTGGTGAGGGGAAACACAGCAAACCGACGTGTAAGTCGGCGTCGGATTTCACCCGCCAGCAGTGGATGGCATTGCCCCCTCCCGCGATAAAAAGCTCTATAATTAGGGAACTAATGACCTTATCAGTCGACGCGTCAGGAATCACCAATCAATAAATCAAGCAATCGACGGCATGGGATATATACAATGAACCGGAAGTCTTGTTTCGGCGATGAAAGTAGTTGTATATTATACTTTGGTACTTCCTCTATATCGTTTTGTCGCATATTTACGATTCCCTCACGTACCGAGGAGTTTCAAGCATCTGAAAGTTAATGTGCCTTGTCAGTAGTTTGCAGCAGGCACGAGAAGCTCAAAAATAAGGGAGTTTCGTGAGTTCTGAGTTGGAATCTGACGCTAGCTCAAATCTCTTGCAAGTAGATGGCCAAACTTTTCCCACGTTGTCAGTGAAGCAGTGGGACGTCGCTGTGCTGCAGGTGGAGTACTGGCTGAGCGAGACGGTTCGCGAGAGCGAGATAACCAGCCGCTCCCCCAGTTTCGCTGACGTGTCCTTGGTCGACGTCGTGAAGAGCGAATTAGAGATCTTCTTGGACAAGATCATTCAGCAGTAAGAATGGTTACCTGTTACCTTTTAAAAAGGGGAACTACCGGGGGCAGCGTAATTAATTTTAATTTTTAAGCAATGTGCCCATTCGACATTCATCCAGGCACTCGGCATGGGACTAGTCATGGTACAGACTTACTTAATACTCTCTTGCGTAGCTCATAAGGGTACGTAATGCACATCTGTATAACATGTAAGGATACGATATACACATATATGCATAGCGCAGATGTACGTTATACACACGTGAATAGCACAAAAGTGTATGTAATACATATGTGCCATGCCCACACACACATGGATAGCATATAAATATATGGTAGAGTTAGACGTAATAAACAAACGTAGGACTGCAAGGTATAGACATGCACAGTAGGAAACAGAATTATACTAGATATTGTGAAGATGGACGTAGTGTAGACGCACCCAGTAAAGACAATCGTAGTAAATACCTTCATAGTAAATGTATTCTTAGAAAGTACATTCCTAGAAAAGACATTTTTAAGAAAGACTCGGTACAGGACTTTACAGACATAATATACATTCAGGTCGTGAAGGCGAACGCATAATTTCATACACATTATGCATACGTTCACTCCAAATGAATATATATACTGATGTGACCGTTGACTGTTGGGCGGGTGCAGGTACGGCCAGTCGGCGCTGTCGGGCGGCAAGGTGAAGTTCGCGGACCCGCTGGTGGTGGTGGAGGGCGACACGGTGCTGATGCGCGCCTTCCACGTGTGCTTCCCGGCGACGGGCGCCGTGGAGGTGCTGGGCAACATGGCGGAGGCGCGCCTGTGGGACGAGCTGCCGCGCCCGGCCTCCAAGACGCCCGGCGACCCGCTGCGCCACTTCGTCGCCCTGCTCACCGACCGCCTGCGCGCCTCGCACGGCGTGCACGCCTCCTCCGCCACGCTGCTGCTCGAGATGGTGCGTAGTATGGCCGCTCCGCGCGCGCTGCTTCCGCCTGGGTGTTGGGAGGAAGGCGACGCCAGGGGACTGGGAACTGCTGGAAGTCCGTGGTCGTCCTAGGCGAAGGTGCCAGCGTGTGTCGGCCTTCCTCAGGGCGATTTTTTTCTATTTTTTTTCTCTCTGAGGAATGTCGTTGAATGGCGGGTGAAACGTTGGCACCTGTTCCTAGGACGTGGCGTCTCCCGGACAGCCAAGTAGATACCGACTACGGAACGTTGTCATGTGACGCTAAGGGACATTCGTCCCTCGGTCAACAGCATTTTGGCAACAAAGAACCTGCGTGGTTTTCTGAGCTAAGACTTGGACCCCGAATTCGAAAATGAAGTCTGTTTTTGTTTATTCGTATTAGTTTTTTGTGTCACGCTCCTACCTATCTATAGAAATGTTTGAAAACGTTGCATATTGATTATTCACATTTCGTTCACATTTTTAGTCTTGCACAAATCACTCAAATTTTTCATCTTTGATATTTATTATTTCTTACAACAACAACTTAATTTTTCCATTTATATTTTATATATTAAGTCACAATGATTATATTAATGAATAAATTATTTTTGTCAGAGTTGATACTATGATTTTAGCACCAGCACTACAATATCGACAAATCCTAATTGATAAGAGTGCTATCACAGTCGACCGGATTACCAAAACTTGAAGTACCGCAAGATTCGCGGCGGGCGTCCGCTGTCACAGGTGGCGTTTCTGGGTCTTCGTTGCGACAAGGCGCCCCCTCCGCTTCCGCCGCGGCCCCACACGCCGGTGCTGTCGTCGGACGTGACGAGCCGGAGCAGCGGCACCTCCGGGTCCACCCCCGCAGCCGCCACCCCGTCCAGCGCCGCCACCGCCACCTCCACCTCCAGCACCACCACCTCCGCCTCCAGCGCCTCTTCGGCAGAGGCCCGGCCGGACCCGGGCCCCGCCCCAGCCGGGACGGCGGGGAAGGCGGGCGGGGTCCGCGAGCGCTGGAACGGCGGCGGCGGCAGCTCTGCCGAGCAAGCCAACGGAGACGACGGAGAGCGCTGGGACGACGTGTGGTCGCTCGTCGACGAGGATTCCGGCGAGTACTCCGAGGTGAGGCCGGGCGGGAGAGAGGCTGTAAAGTCAGGTTGCACTCGCATGAGCTGTCATGTGTCCCCTATGTGTCCCCCATTTCGCTAACACCGGACCACGCTGTTAGGGACCTGCGGACCACAATTGGAAATCCAGAATACTGAATATAATGGCCCGCGGGCCGCAGCAAGTGATGGAATAGGGAATCGTGGTAGGCGCAATTTGACTGCACCTGAAGGTCGGGGTGACCCCAGCCGGAGGAGTGTTTGTTGTAAAGGTGCGCTTGCGCAGTTTGGAGATAAAAAATATGCAGTTGTAAGTACGTAAAATGGGCTTGTGGTAGACTAGGTCCATTTGTACAGCACATTCAATTGTATTTTACTGCGTAGGACTTGGCCGTTAATTAACAGTAATGAAAATTGTATGATGATAAAATACAAAAATAGGGACATCTATATTATTTCTTGATTTTTGGATGACCTACATTTTATTAGCAAATTATCCGTAACCAATTTAAAACTTATTAAAATTTTATATTATATGTCATTTTCATTATTCCTCATTATTTTCTTTATAAATTCATTGCAGAACCTTCTGTTCGTCAACAACTGACAAAGCTATTATAGAAATGCAAGTCAGTAAATGTCTTATTGCTAAAGGTAAACCAGATACTTAATCTTAAACATTTTAAGAGAAAATGCACAAACTAATTAAACAGCCATGTAGGATTTATTGATAAAATACCTCGTACGAGTACCCAACGCTCCATGTCAACATACCCATCACCAAGCCCAAATAGTTGTGGGGAAGTACATTATAATATCTTGTGCTTAAAGGGGAAACGAAAGAGAAGTGCGTAATTAAAAATGTTATTCTTCGTCCAAACACTGGCCGAATAACGGGCAGCCGTCGCCTCCTTGCAGTGCCGCCAGTCGTGGCAGAAGGCGCCGACCATCGACGAGTTGCACACCCCGAACGACGTGCTCCGCTTCGTGGAGGCCACCATGGAAAGCCCGGACTACCTGGCGGGCATCGACCTGGGCACGCAGCACCCGGAAGGGCAGGCCCCGGCGGCGCAAGCGCAGCAGCCGCAGTCGGCGGGTCAGACGCAGCAGTCGAGTGACAACGTCAGCCTGAGCAACGCGTCGGCGTCGCAGGTGCAGCGGCGGCTGAGCGGGCAGAACGCGCTGGAGACGCCCGACCCGCCCGGCGCGCCCTTCGCGCTGGAGGCGCACCGCTACGCGCGCGAGCTCAGCCCCAACATCCTGCTGCAGCAGCTCTTCCAGGCGCAGGTGCGCTCCGCCCCGCAACCGCTCCCGTCACGTCCCGCCCCGCCCCGCCCCCCACCACACCCCGCACACCCCGCCACACCACGCCCCGCCCGCCCCGCCCCGCCCCGCCCTCCCGCCCCGTCCCGCCCCGTTCCGCCCCGCCCCGTCGACCCCGTCCCCGCCCGCCGCCCCGCCCGCCCCGCCCCGCCCCGCCCCCTCCGCGCCCCCCCGCCCGCCCGCCCCGCTCCGCTCTGCCCCGCCCCGTCACGACCCACCACGTCACGATCCGCCCCGTCACGATCCGCCCCGTCACGTCCTGTCACGTCCGTCAAGGTGGTCGGCGCCGAATCTCCCCATCCACAACAGTTACGTGAATAATGGCATTAGCAGTTTTCGCGCCCGGAATCACCAATCAATCAACCATTATCCTAATCCAAATACATCTAAACTAATTTAAATAGTTGAAAGCCCAACACTGAAAATAAATGTTCAATGATTACGTCTTTGTACCGTCTAATGTTTTCCCATTTCTAGCTTTTCTTATATTTGAAATATCGCACACTAAAAATTAAATAGAAAAGTACAATACCAAATTTGTAATTTATCTCATCTCCAAAGAAAGGCTTACACATCGAAAATGTATGATTGAAAATAGGAAATTACTCTTTAATGCCAGTCCGAATAATATCAACATTTTTTTCAAGTAACCCCTTCAAGAACGCAAATTAAGAGAACCACATCCATCGAAAAGAATATTTTAAAGGCGGTGGATTTAACAAGGCCAACAAGAATTCTGTATGAAAAAAATAACGGAATATATCGGCAAGATTTTCCAAAGTTTACTATTCTGGACCGAATTTTCAACATGAAAGAGCTGCCGCTTTTATCGCATGAATATCGAGAGTCCACATCTCTGTCACAAAGCCTTGAGAGGCAAGTGAGAGGAGAAGGGCATCGTGCGTCGCAGGTGGAGAAGCAGTGCTTCGACTGCCAGTACTTCCGGCCGACGGACGTGCTGCTGATCCGCGCGCACGACCCGGTCGACCAGGACGGCCTGTGGCATTGGCGAGCGAACGTGTCCCTGCCTTCTTCAGAGGTGGGTCTGCGCACTCCCTCGTCTTCACGCGCGCTCAGCAGTAATCTTAATGCGCAGTATGACTCGTAAATGTTTGCAATTGTTTAATTCCTGGGTCGGTTATCCTTGCAGACTGGTCTTTGTTGCTTTTGTACCATTTTCGTCCCACATTATTATTTAGTCTTTTTTCTTACCGCTTTACTTTCATTAGATCAGTTTACCTTAACCTATGAGTCTTCTTTAAGGTTTTCTAAAATTTTACTGAGTCGCTTAAGGTACATTTGGAAGGCAATATCTCACAATAGCAGATACTGTTAATACTGTCTTTCGTTTTGTTCAATGTATACTCTAATTTTGAATGTACACTATTAAATTGATTGGGGAAATTTCAGACGTTGTGATCTGTTTCAGTTTAAAACAGATTAAAATTTCGAAATGTTTTTCCACCATTTATCCCTTTGACTTAGTAGTTCAAAAAGTAACAAGCTCTCTTACATAGTTTCTGAGCAGAATGGGAAGCTAAGTTTGGACATGAATGACTCCAACTGTGGACATTCGGCCGGTGGTCGGTGGATCACGTACCCAAAACGTCGTCACTGACTATATGAGAAAAGATTATGTACTAAATATCTACTGTTAGTGAACACTGCAAGTGACTACATGTCTTCGTTCATTTGGACCGACTTAGGTGGCTCAGGGCATCAATTGAGGTCACTACACTGTTACTACCAGGAGGTTCTAGGGTTAGAGTTCAGATGGTAGGTTTTTCGACACTAACGCCATATCTAGGTCAAGGTCAGTCGCTTACTGGAGAAGATCTCTAATGGCTGCCCGATCGGTAGTTTTCCGTGGTGTCTCCGATCAACACCAGGCGAATACCTGAGAAGTAACCTAACAAACGGGTGACGTATTCCAAGCGATAATGTGTTTCCCTTCCGCACCCCATTTTACACACACATACAGTACACCACCACACATGACGTGAGACCAGACAGAAACTTAGAGCTTGCCCGACTGAAGCGGTGCCGGGCAAGTGGTAAATATCTGGTTAGGGAAAACTTCGGTAGCTGCCAGGTACCTCGCCGCCGGACCTCGCCATCCAGCAGGGGAAGGTCACCGCCTCCTCACCGCGATAAAAAAAAACATGCCCTACACTTACGTAACTAATGACGTTATCGGTTGACGCGCCCACCCGCCATCCGTACTGAATCGTCGGGCGTGCGTGCAGGTGGGGCTGCGCGACTTCCACGACTGCGTGATGGACGAGGCGCAGCGGTGGCTGGCGGCGGAGGAGGAGCGGGAGGAGCGGCGGCGGCACACGCGCGCCCTGCGGGAGGCCATGTCGCGCCGCAAGATGACCAAGTTCCCCCCCGGGCGCGGCAGCGGCAAGCGCCTCGTCTCCGCCGCCTCCACCGAATCGGCGTCCGGCGCGCGCGCCGCCGCCTCGGGCGCCGCCGCCGCCACCGCCGCAGCCGTCGACGACGCCCTCGTCGACCCGGCCGAGTTCAGCCTCTTTGCCCTCGACGACTTCTTGCGGCCCAAGTCCATTAAGATGGCCTTGTTCGTGGGGAACACGTCGGTGAGTGTCACGTGCCTCACTATGTATATTTTTAGGTCGTCGATCCAACCGATTTCAGGCTCTTCGCCCTCGACGACGTCTTGCGGCCCAAGTCCATTGAGATGGCCTTGTTCGTGGGGAACACGTCGGTGAGTGTCACGAGCGTCAATGTGTACATTTTTAGGTCGTCGACCCAAACGAGTTCAACCTCTTCGCCTTCGACGACTTCTTGAGGCCCAAGTCTATTAAGATGGCCTTGTTCGTGAGGAACACATCGGCGAGTGCCACACGCCTTAATGTGTATATTTTAGGTCGTCGACCACGCCGAGTACAGACTCTTTGACCTTGGCGACTTCTTGCGGCAAAGTCCATTATGATGGCCTTGTTAGTGGAAGAACCCATCGTAAGTGTGACGCGCCACAGTGTAGGTAATGTTTTTACGCCAGAATTTCGTGTTTGGAAAGAAGTACAGGTTCAGAAAGTTTAGCTTCAAAATATTGGGAAGTTCGGCTTCATGCAGATGTGCATCGCTAGATACTTCCACTGTCGTGTAATTTGAGTTTTCGTTTACTTGGTATTATTTACACAATGCATATGTGCCTGCTGTATACTTCCTTTTTTCATACTACATAATGAAATTAACTCTGAGGGTCGTCTGATGTAATACCAACTAATAGAAATAGAGAATGCGTGTCTGTGTGTGCACTCGTCCGGTCGCCTAATCTAGGCAAGGAGGTGTCATACGACGTGCTTTAGTCTACTGGCTGTGGACTGACCAAACCTTTCCGAACATTGTAAGTAAATTCTCTTCTCAAAGGCGTGCTTTTTGGCGTTGGTGGTGAGTATTAAGGATTTAGAAATCACTTAGAAAGTTAAGGCGGCTGCAGAGGTGAGTACTTGCGTGGTTTTTATCGATGCAGTTCACGGGCCCCTGTATATCGAGTACACTTGACAACTGTCGGCGTCGAGGTAGACACAAGTTAAGGGGAGGCAATCAAAGCGTACTCAGAAGGGAGCACTGCTGTGCCATACAAACCCACATAGGACCTCATGATATCAATGGGCCTCATTGATACCCCAGGGAAGGAAATGGAAAACGGCGTCATCTCTGTCGTCACGTGAACCTGACCCTCCCCCCATCCCACCGCGGCAGGTGCGGCGAGAGCGCGACCGGCGCACGTTCGCCAAGAGCCGCGCGGAGGTGGGGGAGCACCCGGAGACGCCGGGCGCCACCGACACGGGCACCTCGACGCAGGCCCTGCACAAGACGTCCAGCAAGTCCGACAAGAGCGCCAAGCACTCCTCCAAGCACAAGCTGCCCAAGGACGCCGACGACGCGGACGCCACCAAGAGCAAGGAGAAGACACAAGGCGACGACAGGAAGAAGGCCGGCAAGTCGAGCAGGTACCCTCGGCTGGCATTGTTTTCTGGCGTACCTGATTCTTAATTTTTTTTTAATAATCCAGGAGCTTCATGTAAAGTACCTCCGAAAATTGAAATTTCGGTTTCAAATTCAAGAAGCCGCAATATTAGCCAGATCGATTGCGGAATATCAAACTAGAAGAAAATCAGTTGAACGGTTACAACGCTAACATTGTTGACAGTCGGACAGACTTTTTTCCGTCATTCGCTTTTTCAGCATCAAGGAGCTACAAAACATGGCTTATGGGTACACCGTGTGTTAGAGGATGTTTTATAAATTTAGCAACTGGATTTATTCACTTTTTCTTTACCACAGGGGGCCTCTAATACGAGTTTTTCTGTCAAAAATTCGCTTCTTTCCCCGTATCCTTACATAACTTTCTCTCTACTCCGTAAGCGGTACCGAAAAATTAAAAAGCATGCTACCAGAGAGCCCCAAAATGACTGCACGTTACGGACGACACTAGAGAGCGCTACGCCGCCCAAAACAAAACACGACTGAAAGCGGCGGGGCGGGGCGGGGCGGGTGGCGGCAAGCCGCGCTGCAGGCGCAGGACACGGTGCAGGACGTGATGCGAGGTGCCGCTGGCGTACGAGCGGACAGGAGGCGTCGCGGCTGCCGCGCGACCCGACGCTGCCGGGCTTCGAGCTGGGCGCGCGCCGCTGGCAGCTGCTCTCCGACACGCGGCGCTTCGCCTGCGCCGACGGCTGCGCAGTCAGCGTCGACGTGCACGACTGGCTGCACCGCGCCAAGAACGTCGCCATCAAGGTGCGCCCGCCCCCGGGCAGAGTTTCCTGTTCGGTAGGATTTTCGTGGAATTCCGGAGTAAAAAAATCTGTAAGAATCATCTTAGCCGAATTCCCAGTGCTATTAGTAGTAGTACATAGATCGCGTGCCCCTGAGAGGATATTCAAAGCAGGTAGATGCCAGTCTCTTTTTCAACCCAGACTTCCTAGTAAACCTACCTCAGACGCGGATCTGGGAGCCTTGCGATTTCCGTCCTTCGATTATCACTCACCGGGCAAGTCACGGCCGGCATCGATCTAGGGATTCAGAGGCCAGTTAGCTACCATTCACTCACTGAGATGCCAGTGATATTATACTGTTGAAATTACTCATAGGGAATTATTTCGGCAGTGGTTGAGTGTTGAGGAATTCGCGTCCGCCGTGCATTTCTCTTAAGGTTGGCGATCACCTGAGTAATTTGTCCGATGCCTGCTGAGTGTTTTGCGAATTTAAAAATTTCTTTTTATCAAAAACCGACGTCGCTCGTCCTTTTATCGTCCCTATCCTTTATTAGACAGGAAAAGGAACGGAATGTATAGTGTAAAATTGAAATAGTAATTACTATCTATTGCACCAAGGGCATTAAAAGGTTTCTAATGATCGAGTGGTGAGTAAAAACCGGAGTACCTTTGGCCCGAAGGATTTTTGTCGCCACTGGATTTTTTACGTAGTTTTCATGTTTAAGATTTACCTCTTTACTAATAATTAGATGTTACCTTGACGTGGTTTGTCATGTCTTGATTTTCATCTGATATTTTATATCTCACTTCCTTATGTCCTCTCACATTTCTCTCGAGAGAACATGCAGCTTCATTCAACTTACCATATTCTCCTCGTAACCACGATCCTGTCGATCTAGGCAAGTTATAACAACGTATATGGAACTCCGAATCAGTAACAACCGATAACGTGACAGTTAAAAAATAAATTGTGTATATTTTGGCCATTCCATTCTGCCCTGATCCGTTGTGATCCAATCCGTTACGATAACCCGCTCCGATTCGTAGCGTTTTGCTCAGTTGAAGTGAATGACGCATGGTCTAGAGATTTTTCTTTGCCTTTTCTGCCCAATTTTCTCAGTGGCAAGTTTTACGATCGCATGTTTCAATTGTTTGTAACCGAAAGCTCAGGTCTACACATTTTAGCGTTTAAATTTTCAGGTATTCCATGCAAATTGGGATGAAGAGTGATGATGAACGAAATATTATGGCGCTTCTTGACAATTCATTTTAGATTTACTAATACGCATCATTCTTTAATATTCACTAGATTTGATGAATAAATGCCCCCATTAATTCGTACTAGGTGTGACATTATTCCCGT